ATAAAATCACACCATATTTGTACAACATTTTACCATTTGAAACATAGTCTAACTTACACTACAAAGGCTATATAAATGTAGGTTGGCCTTTCAGCCTATAAACTGAAGGTGTAAAATGTTTACAGTATTAGCAAGGTTACAATGAAAGCAACTAGACACCAGGAGAAGACACTATGCACTGGGTAAAAATGTTAACAGGGACCCTGTTATCAATAAATGGTTAAATCACAGTCCACATGCTTTTCTTCTAAAAAATCAGAGAAATGCATAATATGTTTTAGAAAACATTACCATGGAAAAAATGGATGAATATGTTACTGAATGTACAGTGGTAGGTGCTGATTAGCTGAAATGGAAATAGTATAGAGCCACAAGAGTGCGTCTCAAACTGCGGTTTAAGAACCCTCGGAGGCATGTGGGGTGGGAGGAGAGGGAGGAACCAGGGGTCATCAGGTGTTGCAAATATTAAATGTGATAGATAATACACAAAGCAATACACACATAGTGGCCCACAAATGTTTGGATAGTGGTTTCAGTGGTTTTACCAGGTCTGCATCCACTCCTCGTGCTAGAGAATGACAACTCCCCCAGTAGGTACTTTCTTGGTGAGGCAGGAACCTAGGGACTTGCCAGGACCCAGTCTGGGCCTGAGAATATACTCTCAGTAGAGAGTGGGGTTAAAAACAGAGAAGGTACAAAGTCCTGAGGAGACGATCCGTTGAGTCCTGCTACCTGGATCCCTGAAGCTGCTCTGGGGCTGCTCTATTCTGAGGCCTGGTTCTTCAGCTCTACTGCCAATTCTGGGAGCTACACCACATCCTTCCAGCAACCTCCTTTTTTGCTTAAAGTCACCAGATTTAGTTTCTACGGCTTATAACCAAAGACCTTTAGCTTATTAGCTATTATTTTGAGCCTAGAAGAATTCATTTTCTCAAAGATTTGGGGGATAAAATTTAATTTGATTGGCAAGTAATTTAAACTATTAATTTTATGGTAAAACAAAGGGATGGAACATAGCATAGAATACAAAATTCATGTAAAATTTTAAGATATTAGATTTTTCTTTTGAAATTTTTAAAGATATGCTTCCTCCCACTTCTCAATCTCTCTCCTTCCCCCATGAAAGTTGTTCAGCAATGGGTTTAAGAAGCACTGGTATAGGGATAAGCTTTCCTTAACTTTTAGGATCTGCCCCTAACTAGCTAAAGGATCTAGGGCAAGTTACTTAATCTCCCTAAGACTCACTTATCACATCTTTAAAATGGGGATAATAATAGTATGCATCTCCAAGTTATTATTGCAAGAGACAACACAGGAAAGCACTTAGCACTACTCTTCACAACAGAGTTTATCAGTCCCAAACAAGGAGAGTTTGGTTAACATAACAAAAGCAAGGGGCATACTGTTTGCAAAGATGGCTGCAACAGTGCACCCCCACATCCCTGTAGGCAGGATCAGACCTGTGAGATACACTTTGCAGCATCTCCCATCAACAGCTGGTGTCTCTTTCTAACCACTTGAATCCGGGCTGGTCTTGTGGTTTGCCTTGACACTAGAATGTAGCAGTGACACTGTGTGACTTGTAAGCCTAGGCCTCAAGAAACCTCACAGGACTCACCTCTTGGAATATGGTGCCTCCATGTGAGAAAATCTGGTCTAGCTCCTGGAAGATGAGATCAAGTAGAGCTCAAATGAGCTGTCCCAGCTAGACATCCCTAGGCCAAGGAGCTCCGACTAGAGCCTTCAGATGACAACAGCCACAGTGGTGACCTCAGGCCAGGCAAGACCAGCAGAAGAACTGCCCTGCCCTAATTGTGAGCAAATAAATGGTCACTGTTTTAAGGCACAAAGTTTTGAAGTGGGTTGTTTTTACTCAGCAATAGATAAGTGATAGACATGCTGCATGAATTGTCATAATATTTCTATATTTTTTTATTCCATCTATTTCCTAAAATTTCCTATGAAGAAACTCAAAGCTCCAATGTCACCAAATAACTACATCACGGCCAGATGTGGTTATACTTCTCATTCTTCATGGCCAGGTCAATATTTCTAATTCTATAGAAATACTGAAATGTATCTCAGTCAGAACTTGGGGGTTTAGAGTGGGGAGTAGAACATACTCCAAAGCCAAAATAACTTAAGTGAAAATCTTCTAAAATTATCATAGTTATACCACAAGGATGCAGGTGTAAACATAGTTGCGTTGAAATTGAAGGTAACTGGCTGAGAAGAAAAACGAAACAAAATGGCTATGATTCATTCAAAAACTAGAAATCAAAACAGATTCTCCCTTATAACAGTTTTGTGCCTGGCATTTTCTTCCATACACTTTGAAGATTACCGAAACGCCCTTTGAAAAGTGCACCACACACTGTCACGAGGCAATGCTTGCCTTAGGTCATCATCAATTCAACAAATATTTAGAGAGCACCAACTCTACGCCTGTGAGTTATTAGCCCCTGAACGCTTTCTTTTTTTTGATAGTGTACACAGAGATACCACGGTAAAGGGAACACGACTGGGTGAAACTAGACCACACACCTGTCTTGGTTGAGGTGCCTGGTCTAGTTAGAGGGTTTAAAGTGGAATGTGGCAAACAAGGTTTTGCCCTCATGCAAACTTGTATCCAGAAGAGGAGAAATATTAACAGCCAATAGTATTATCAGCACAAATATTATTGCTATCATTACCATCATTATTATATACCCTTGCCCCTCCCACCACTATTCCTCCTCAGTTACTGCTAAATATCTGCCTTCTGCTAAGCACTTGCCTCATTTAATCTTCACAATAACTTAGCAAGGTGTTACCCACATCTCACAGATGAGGAGACTGAGGCTCTGAGTGGATAAAAGCTACACAGACAGTAGGTGGTGGAGCCTACACTTTTAATCACTACCCTACACTCCCTGCGTACTATGAATTCCTTATAATTTTATAGGAATTTGAACAGGGGAAAAAATCCTTCACAGCAAGAAATGAGGCACAATATACTATCTTTATCAATGTAAACGTCTGTGTTTATGTGCATGTTTTCAGTGAGTTTCTTCTGAAAACTAAGTCCTGTATGGAATTTTTTCCTTCCTGTTGGAAGAGTCTGAAAAATATTCTTGTTTCTCAGTAGTACACAAAACATTTTTAAAGGTATACAAGAAAGCATATTTCACTTCTCATTCAATACAACACAGACTGCAAAGGGAATTAGTCATCTCAGGGAATGAGGACTCAGCCACAAATAGGAGATGTTTTCAATTACTATGTTTAGTCTTTAATAGCTTTATTATTTTTTCCTGATTATACAAGAAGTGCATGCTAGCTGAAAAAAACAGAAAAACATTAAAAAGATCACTCACCATCCTATTACCTAGAGATAACAAGTTACTATTATTTGGTGTCTATCTTTTCAGATACTTTCTTTTAGGTTTCTATATACAGGGCTTTTGTCCATCTTAAAAATCACACATTAGGGGCCGGCCTGGTGGCACAGTGGTTATGTGTGCACATTCCGCTTCGGTGGCCTGGGGTTTGCCAGTTCGGATCCTGGGTGCGGACATGGCACCACCTGGCAAGCCATGCTGGGGTAGGCGTCCCACATATAAAGTAGAGGAAGATGGGCATGGATGTTAGCTCAGGGCCAGTCTTCCTCAGCAAAAAGAGGAGGATTGGCAGTAGTTAGCTCACGGCTAATCTTCCTCAAAAAAAAAAAAATCACACATTATACACATTCTCTTGCTGTTCTCTTTTTTCTAAATATCACTCCATGTCAATAAATATTGACCTCCATCATCCTTTTTAAAGACTGCATATTATTTCACTATATAGACAGGCACTAGTTGACTTAATCCTTTATTAACAGGCATTTAGATTACCTTCTATGTTTTGTTATTATAAAAAAAAACGGGGCAGTGAGCAGTCTGGTACACACTTCTATGCACACTTGACCAACTGTTTCTTTTTTTTTTTTTTTTTTAAAGATTTTATTTTTTCCTTTTTCTCCCCAAAGCCCCCCGGTACATAGTTGTGTATTCTTCGTTGTGGGTTCCTCTAGTTGTGGCATGTGGGACGCTGCCTCAGCGTGGTCTGACGAGCAGTGCCATGTCCGCGCCCAGGATTCGAACCAACGAAACACTGGGCCGCCTGCAGCGGAGCGCGTGAACTTAACCACTCGGCCACGGGGCCAGCCCCTTGACCAATTGTTTCTTTAAGATAAATTCCTAGATGTTGGCTTGTCATTTTATTTTATGACTTTGGATTTGTATTGCCCACAGTGTCATCCAGAAAATATGTACCAAATTTATCTTTTTAAAAAGAAGTTAACTCTTAAATGTTAAGAGTAATAACATATTTTACATTTCTAATTATCTAGATAAAATGGCAAAAAGCATTTTTTAATTGCATTTTATCTCCAAATATTTAAAATATTGATTTATATCTCTGATATTGCATTAGGTTTACATTTGGAGGTGGAAAAATTCTAAAATACCCAGTACCGTCTAGTGGTTTTATTTTCAGCACCATGTTGTTGTTTTAGAAAGTTAAACTCTCAAAAGAACATACTTGCTGCAAAACGAGCACATTAGTAGAGAATGTTAAAAGGCAGGAAGGGAGGCAAAAAAATAAACCAATCAGTTATAGCAGTTACCAAGTCACCAAATCTGCATCCTATACAATGACCAAGAGAGAAGGTCCAAGAGTCAGGGAAGAGGTAAAACTAAAAGAAGCGACCCTCAGAGCTTCAGTGATGGCCAGATGAAATTACACACAGTCAGACATCTACATGTCCTGTACACACCAATCCTGGAGCTAATCTCCAGGGGTTAGAACACAAGAGGAATCTTTGTGTGCTTCATTTAACCAATCATTCCGAAAAAGGGTGAGGGAGGCCGGATACAGATTTCCTTAAGGTAAGAGTGTCTAGTGAGCAGCCTGAGGGCCTAGTATCAATTACTTCCCCTACAGTGCAAGGGGAGGATAATCAGAATTTGAAACATACTCACAGCTCCAAAGGCACTGACTCCCTTCAATACCGTCACACACACGACAGGGTTCAATCATCAGGCTCTATGGAAAACTGCACAAGGTGACAACATTTTTAGCAATAAATAAAACTACCTGGTGATACAGTATAATGTGTGTGCTAAGAAGGGAAGGCCACACACTATAACTAATAACAAGTAACCTACTGGAATTTCATCCTAATGGGGAAGATGGGGGCATCAGACTAAGCTGCCATACCAAAAGTATAGAATACTTGAGGTGGCGAATGGCAGTGTGTGTGTGTGTTAGCGGGTGGGGGTAGGGGGTGAGAGGGGAGTGTTGCTTGGTGACCCCACAAATGTATAGGACTTAGGGATCTAACAGGCTTCTAGGCAAGAGGTCAGCAAACTATAGCCCATGTATGGGTCAAACCCAGCTGCTGCCTGTACATACCATTTTTTAAACGGCTGAAAAAATTTAAAAAATATTTCATGCCATATAAATATTCTATAAAATTCAAATACCAGTGTCCACAAAGTTTTACTGGAACACGGACACTCATTCATTTATGTCTATGGCTGCTTTCTTGATAGACTGGCAGAGTTGAGTAGGTGCAACAGAGACCCAGGTGGCCCGCAAAGTAGAAAATATTTACTATCTCGTCCTTTGCAGAAAGTTTGCTGACCTCTGTTCTAGGCCATAAAATCATGCAGTTTTTGAACCTGTGCATGCTTGTTGGTTTGGCCCCTGACATACCAAGGATCTAGACATAACCTGCTAGCCTAACAGAGAATGCAATCCCATTGTTAAGAAGAGTGGACAAGTCTAATAGGTCCTATAAATGCTGGGGTACCTGCCCATATTAACCAGAAAGATGTGAAACGTTTTTCTGAGTTAAAAGATGAATGGTCCCAGAAGGCTTATGTGGGAATGAGTAGGATTAAAGGTTTTCTCTTTGAAAGAATGCATTAGCTATCTCCTTCTAAAAAAGAGAATGAAACCATTCTCAAAATGGCTACCGCCTTTGAGCATTTATTAGGCACCTAGGACTGAGCAAAGCCTTTTGATTTTATTATCTCATTTAATGGTCATTTTCTCCAGACTCAGAGAGACTGGCTGGTTCAAGTTGAAACAACCAGAAAGTTCTGGAAATGGGAGTCAAACCCAGGTACGAGTCTAACGCCTGTGTTCCTAACCTCTACCCAACTTGAAAGCAGAATGTATGAATGCTCATCATGAATAAATGAGAGAAAAAGGGAAAGACCACAGAAAAGCAGAAGCAAGTTTATTCTTAAACGGCTGTGAGCACTCTATTTTATTCATATATCACTCTCTTTTTACTCCTAGTACCCTCTCTTTCTTCAACACTTAAAGAAAGGAAAATACAATTCAGTTCTTCCAGACTCTTGCTTATTGAGAAAAATCAATGCAGGTACCCAATTGTGGAGGCATTTTAAAGATGTCAGAATCAGACAGCAAAAGTCACAGGTGTAACTTGCACTAACGCAATCTTTGGTGTACCTTTGAGGGTCCCCAAAAGGAGAGGGTGAGCAAGCATTTCCAGAGGTGATGGACTAGAAAGTACATGCACAGTTGGGTTTTTTGGTTGTGTGTGAGAGGAAGATTGGCCCTGAGCTAACATCTGCTACCAACCTTCCACTTTTTGTTCGTGGAAGACTGTCCCTGAGCTAAGATCTGTGCCAATCTTCCTCTATTTTGTATGTGGGATGCCACCACAGCATGGCTTGATGAGAGGGTATGTAGGTCTGTGCCTGGGATCCCAATCAATGAACCCTGGGCTGCCAAAATGGAGTGTGCGAACCCAACCACTATGACACCAGGCTGGCCCCTACATCTGTAGTTTTTAAATTTAGATTTGTCATTTACATTACAAATGAAGAGCAAAAGTTAAATGAAATCTTACCCAAAGAGAGAGCTATGGTGCTAGTGGGAGGGTAGTGTTTCTTCCTGCCCAGCATCCATGTCCTTGGCTTTACCAATTGCACTACCATTTCCCTTCAATTTCCCCCAAATGTCTACAATATAAGGACCACTTAATCCTAACACATTTTTGAAACCTTATTTTTAAAAAATGTTTCAATTTGTTAATATTTTCACCATACTTATTTGGAAATAATGTACATCATTATCATATACCATGTTTATACATACTCTCTCAGATGTTTATTAATGGTTACCCACATTTTCTTCCAAGTCCTTCCTGTGGGCCAAATGAGGGTCTCAGAGCTTTATACAGGAACCTTCATGCCAGGCTCCCAACGCCTCTACTAAATAGGCTTTATCCAGATGAGGAACTGGAGGGTGAAGCAGATTAAGTAGCTAGAGTGAATCAAAGAACTCAGATTAAAACTTAAGTCTGTTTTGACTCAGAAACTATCTTTCTGCCATCATGCTCTACTGTCTTGCCAAGGCGCAAACACATTTTCTTACAATGATTACCTCCCAAATTTGCTGGAGAGCAATAAGAAAGTGGAGCTAAATGAACCATTTGCTCCAAGAGCTGGTTGTCCAGCTCAAGTCTCTGCTTAGTGACCATCAATCTATCTGGTCTAAATTATTTTTTTTTAGGAACATTAGCCCTGAGCTAACATCTGCTGCCAATCCTGCTCTTTTTGCTGAGGGATACCGGCCCTGAGCTAACATCCGTGCCCATCTTCCTCTACTTTATATGTGGGATGCCTACCACAGCATGGCTTGCCAAGCAGTGCCATGTCCGCACCTGGGATCCAAATCGACAAACCCCGGGCTGCCAAAGCAGAATGTGTGAACTTAACTGCTGCGCTACCCAGCCGGCCCCTAGATTTTTCAATATAATCTAAAAACAGCCACAATGCACCCAGTACTAGCATGTCAAACCCTTTATATGTGTGTATGGTTTATCAACCCACAGGCAATGCTTTGCTGTGGGAACAAAATGGAAGTGCTTTTGCACCTCTAAGACCACAGGACTATGTTAAAGACAACCTTAAAAGTCAAACACTAAGAACAAAGATCTACTTTCCTTACTTTTTTTCTCTTAAGAATTATTCTAACTCTCATTCTATTGAATAAAAACACGTATCACTAACTTTTTTGGCCCTGGACCTCTTTTATAAAATAACTATAGATCCTCACCCCAGAAAAATACACATACACAAAAAGTTTTGGTCACAACTATAGGGGGTTCAGGAATCTCTTGAAGCCCATTCATGCATCCCAGGAGGTCCACAGATCCCAGGATAACCCCTGCACTAAAAGCTTATTACAGAAACGCCTATCTCACAGGACCAGGGTAAAGACCATACAGCTAGCTCTCTAATCATCCTTTACAGGTTCAGAAGGCTAATATTAAATAAACTCTCAAACGAACTTCCTTAACTAGACTCTCATACTCTCAAAGAAACCAGGAATCTAATGATGGGTAAATCACCAAATTCTAAAGTCACATAAATTCAAAGTCCAAATCAGTTTTGTTATAGCTTAAAATCTGCTACGTCTTTCTGCCCACAGAGATTTCCCTAGAAAAGAAAGACACATTAGAATGGCATAGAGCTTGAGTCTTTCCTACTTTAACATTCACGAACATGTTAATATATAATTAATTATATGAAAAGAAGACCACTTCTAAAATTACCAAAAGATGGTCTTTCATTATATAAGACACGAAAAAAAGTCAATTAAAAGAATTCTTAAATTTTCAACACATAGATCTGTGTCACACAATTTCAAATAAATTACAGGTTGACAAGACAGATTTTAAAAAATTCATAAAGGCTCAAATTGTGATGTGTTTTCCACCACTTGAGTCAAGAACTTTGAGGAATCTTTATTTTCAGGTGTACCTCAAACTTCACAGTCTTTCCAATTTCTCTTGGTCTTATTACTCCAGAAAATTTCTAGCACTGTCCAACAAAAGTCTAAGTTACAAAATGAACTTATAAAGTGTTTGGCCAGGACTCTATCAATGAATAATGAATAGAATGTCTCATGAAAATTTAACAGTTACAGGGGCAGTGATACTTTCCTATATACAACGTTAAAAATTATTTTAAATCACTAGATACTGTTTCAAAATCAATATTATGATGATAAGACTGGGTAACAAGTAACTTAAAAAGAACATCACTTTACCACTTGACAATTACTTTTTAAACAATAACGATCCCCACCAAAATGCCACTTGGAATAGACAGATAATCAATTGGTACTTTCAATTTGCAGTTTGTAGTACTTAAGACTTAAACTAACTCTTCTTTTGGTTAGAGAGAGTGTCTTCTCTCCTCCTAAAACCAGAAAATGAACATGCTCTGATGCCCATACACACAGCCAGTGGAAGGCCAATATTATTTCAATGCCAGGGGAGCTTTCACACTCTGAGAGAGGGCAAAATCTTCACTCAAGGTAATTTTTTTTGCCTTTGTGCCAACAGTCAAAGGTGCTAATTCTTGAGAGCACCGTTGAACAGCATTATTGAAGTTTCCACTTCATATACGTGAATAAAATTTTACATATACTGATTTCTAGCTAGCGGTCAAACTCACTTCACTGCTACACATTTGCATTTACAACTCTTCCTCTTTGAAAGAACTGAGAGAAAACAGAGAATGAACCTAACTTTAGTACGGAAACTGAAACAACCAAATCCATCCTACACAAGTGCTTCATCCCGGATACGAAGAGGCAGGGTACTCGGAAGGGCAGGAAAATTAGAAAATAACTCTATGCTCCATAAAATACCAAACCTTGCTTCAAAACTCAGACACTCTTCTTGGGGTTGAATCTATCCCACTGGAGAGCAAATCGGCTGTATTGGTCCTGTTTTCTCTGGCCACCTAAATGCTGCCATTTACGAGAAACTCGTCGGAGTTGAATCAAAGTGACTTTGGGACGAAATGCCAATATAATCTGCAGCGTGTAACTCTACACACAAGCCAACGTTTCTCACTGAGCATCCCCCTCCCCCTTCGCTTTTAACTTCCCCTTAAGATGGGGACAGTCAGATAGACATTTTTTGAAAATCAAAGAGAAAAATAAACAAATAAATAAATAAATAAATAAAAGCACCCCATCTTGATCACCGACGGGACTCCGGCGCCCGGTGAGGTCGGAGGGCACAACGCTCCCCGTCGCTCCGCGAACTCCTCCTGGAGGTCGACAAGTTTCCCCTTCCCCTTTCCCGGAACCCGCCGCAGCCCAGGGGGAAGGGGGCGGCAGCTGGCGCCGGAACCGCGCGACCTGGAAGCCGGGGCCTTTTCGGCTCGCCGGCCGCGCCCGGCGCAGGGGCCCGCGTTCGAGCGCCGCCCGGTCGCGCGTGGGCGGTCCCTCCGCTGGGCCCCTCGGCCGCGCCCCCTCCCTGCCCGCGGGCCCCCGGCTCCCCGGCTCTGTCGGGGCCAAACGCCCTGCCGCCTGCCCCCTGCCCCACCACCCCGGCGGCGAGCCCACCCCCAGCAGCGGCAGCGGGGATGGGGCGGCGAGGGCCACGGGCCCCTTCCCCGGGAAGGCGCGGGGCCCGGCCCCAGGCGGCCCGCAGCCCCCGCTGCCGAGGCGGCGCCCGGACGAGCTCACCTGGCGGCTGGCGGCGGCCTCCGGGGCGGCCTCTGGGCGTGGGCCGGGCGGGGGCGGCAGGGGGGCGGCGGGGGCCGGGGCTGCCGCGGGGGCCGCCGCCGCCGCCCGCCGGGCCTCGCCGCCACACGCGCCGGCCTCGGCCGCCCCCGGGAGTGCGCGGAGCGCGAGGAGCGCGGGTCCCGCGGCGGCGGCGGCGGCGGCGCGGCGCGGCGCGGCGAGGCTCAGGCGTCGGAGCAGGCGGCCGCAGGCGCCGCCGTCTCCTCCTCCATGGCTGTTTACCCGGCTGCATTGTGGGAGTTTGACCTCCGCCGCCGCCAACCGCCGCCTCAGCCTGCGCCGCCGCCGCCGCCGCCGCGCACGCCATGGGAGCCGTGACTGACGGTGAGGCCCACTCGCCGCCGCCCCGGCCCGTTCCCTGGAGCCCCGCGGCCTCCCCGGGGGCCCCCGGCCTCCCCCGCCGCTTCCGGGACCCCCTCGGCCTCCGCGATCTGACCCCTGGGAGCCGCAGGCTTCCCCAGCCACTTCCCCCGAGCCCCTCATCCCCCTCGGAGGCCCTTGGACTCCCCGGCCCGCACTCGGGAGGCCGCGCCGGGAGTGGGGAGGGGGTGCTGAGAGCATCGTCGGGGGGCTGGGAGCACACGTGGGGGCCCGGGAAGCGCTGCGTGGGCGGGTGGTACCCGGAAGGGATCCGGGCTGTCGGAGCATGTGGCGAGGGAGCTCTAGGTAGGGGTGGCGGGGTCCGAGGAGCAGCGAAGGGGAGAAAGTGGGGCAGGTCCTGGAGCTGGGGGTCCGGAGGGCCTGTGGAGGGCTGGGAGGGAGTGGGAACTCCAGGGATGGGCCGGGGGTTTCGGGGCAAGCCGGGAAGGAAGGGAGAGGTTCCAGGATGAGAGCATTAGGGGTGTCAGCGTACAGAGGGTGACACCTGGAGGAGTCCTCTGGACAGACTGGAAGGGCCCCAGGCAATGGGGTGGATCGCAATGAAGTACAGAAATTAGCCCTGCATTGGAGGTGGGGAGAGGGAGCTGGGGACCAGATCTAAAAGAGAATAGATGTGGGCAGCGTATATCTGGAGGACATTCGGAGTGTACATGGGGGATTTGAAGAGTCAGTATAGGGATGGGGACACCTAGGGTAGATCAGGACAGTCAAAGAGGTGTGTGTGT